ATGGCATCACTGAAACTAAGTTTGTAAGTCTAATAAAAAATAATAGTGAGCAACACACATACTACATGTACTGTATGTATGTGTTGCTCACTATTATTTTTTATTAGACTTACAAACTTAGTTTCAGTGATGCCATATTGTTCTTTAATTTAGCCGGAATAGCAAGCTGCTTTCGATCATCTGTACACGTGCCATTTAATTTGTGTATTACACAAATCTTTCCACGAAACAGACAGTTTTAAGTGCAAAAGGTGCGAAAGTGCATAATCACTCCAGCATCCCCTTAATATAGAAACCCTTCAAATTTTACGTTAGAAAAATTAGAAATACGAAAAGTAAATTTGGACACCTTAAACTTTTATTTAAGGTCAACTGAAAACTTACTTTAAAAATATAAAAGAAAACTTTAAGAATTGTGAAAGGTGTATGATATAATTTATAATACCGCGTGTTTTCTTCTTACGAGAAAGTGCTATGTCGCATGCTATAAAACATTTTTTTGCAAGCATTATATATTCTATGCTTAAAACTGTGAGACATCTGACCTCTCGTCTTATTGATCTCTTTTGTTACTAACCCGGGACCCTTTTCTTGTTTCTTTTTTCGCAATTCCTAACGAAAGGGTCGATTATCGTTTGTCGTAAATTTCCAATTTTCAACGTTGGATTATCTTTGGAGCTAATTCTTAGATTCTTAGCGAACCTGTGTTGGAGTAAAGTCTGGCTAAAATTAAATGAGGTGTTAAACTGTCTGATACCTGGGGTAATGCTCGCAAATTTGCCCGACAGGTTCATAGGGAACAGGGAGGTGGAATCTTTCACGGCGCAGAGCAACGCAACGGAGGTGGATAATTGGAAGACCTGGGCGGCTCACAGCATGCTACGGGTGCGTGGTAAGAGGGAGAATCACGGTCTACTGATCCGATGTGTGACCATACATCCGACGAGCGTGCCACCGATCAGCACAGAGACAACATTGAACATTCAATGTACGTGCGACCAATCTCTATTATAGAGCTAATGAGACAAATAAAAGTTATACAAAGTTTATCGACATTCTCAAATATCAAACGGTAGTCGTAAAAAAAAATTGTTAAGAACGATATAATCTCTTCCGGAATAAAAGGGAAAAATTAAAATTCCCTTTATCCTTACGGCAGTTCTCTTTGCTATAACAGTTACTTGTTCGAGAAATTAACGTTGCAAACCGTTTTGATTTAACACATGTAAAAGAAATGGATGACGTGTTAGAAAGTTGCCTTTAAACGTGCAGTTTCCGTCGCTGTAACGAATCCAAGACGACTTGGGAACAGAGCGGTACGTTTTGTGCTCCTGAGCTTGAGCGAAGTGAAGGCAACACGTGTGTAACAGCAGTGCTTCGCGGTTTCAGATTCACCGGAAGTGCGACTCGAGCCGAGTCCGCAGCCGCTCTCGGACGCTCCGGAGGACTCGGTGAGCTTCTTGAGCCTGAAGTGCCTGGCGGACGCTAATCCATCACCGAGTATCAAGTGGTTCAAAGACTCGATGCCGCTGTTAACCGACGCCGCGTCCTCGGCGTCGCTGCAGCTAAGCAAAACTACATTGCTGAACGGCACCACGTGGAACACCGAGCTGCAATTCAGGCCGATCACCAGGCACGACGACGGCCTGTACTCGTGCAAGGCGACGAACAGCGTCGGTGAAAGCGCGCTCGCGAGTTACAGGCTTGATGTGCAATGTTCGTAGAATTACATTATCTCCCGCCCCGAATATACTTTTGCCATTTTCCTTTTCCTCCTGACTTTCCTCTCCGTAACTTGTAAGAGTGATCTACGCACCGCTTAACGTCTCTCCCCGGAATTACAAGGCTCCTCTTCTTCCTCCACAGAATTGCGTCACGCATAAAGTTTTCACGCACAATAATATGTCGCGCTTCTGTGAAAATTGTAACTCTTGAACGTTTGACTCTTTTCTATCCCGCGGAAAAATGAAGAGGAGATTCGAAATACCTGCAAGTTGCACGTAGTGCAATCTGTAACACATTTCCCCTCAATACTACTTTGTTCATTTAATATAAATTATTAGTTCAATATAAATAAGAAACTTTTGTTGCATTTACCGCACCCTAGAGCGAGTACAATCAACAGACAGACACTCGGTGAAAAATCAACACGCATTGTTGGGTTTCTCTGCAGATGCACCAAGAGTGAAGAACAGAAACACGTCCGTGGACGTAGAGGAAACGGCGCTGTTAGGCTCCTCCGCGGATCCCTTCGAGTGCCTCGAGTACGACGCCAATCCGCCCGCTCAGTACAGATGGGTGCATCTCCGCGGTAGCTTGAAGGAGATGATCGAGAACCGCGTGCAGAACAAAGGCAGCGGCCGGCGCTTAAACCTCAAGAACATCATGTGGTCCGACGAAGGGGAATACAATTGCATCGCCTTCAACACGATCAACGGTGTCAGGCGGGAGAACAACAGCAATGGACGCTACGTGCTGCACGTGACTGGACCGCCGGAAATCCAGGCTAGGCCGTTACCCGGCGACAGAGACTTCTACGACTCCGTAGGATGGACCGGGGAGGCTGTGCACAGGCTCAAGTCTCGATTCTGCTCGCGGCCGCCGCCGAAACTGGTCGCTTGGCAGTGGGGCAGTGTCCACATTCGAGCCGGTACGAAAAAACGTCCCTTTTTTTTGAGAGAGTTTTCAAGTTTAATTTTGAAGTCGAGTCAAATCTCTAACAAATCGCGTTTCCGTCCCGCGTTCTCTTCGCTTGATCTTCTAAATTTCCAACAGGAGAGAACATTCCTCCGAAGTACGAGGCCCTGCCGTTGGAGCCGATCATCGAGAACAAGATGGTGACCAACTGTTACTGGGCCAAGCTGGACATCAAGGATCTGCGGAAGGAAGACGCTCGCATGTACACTTTATTGGTGGAGAGCGAGAAGGGCCGGGACTCGACGAACATCAAACTGATAGTGAGAGACCCGACGGAGATGCGCGTGATAGCCGCGGCCGTGGCGGTCGGTCTGCTGTTCTTGTTGCTCCTCATCTCCATCGGCGTGTACTCGCTGCTGAAGATGCGACGTGGACGATACCAGCAGAGGGTGGAGGAGGAGGGCAGCATCGCGGCAGACGCGCTCTACGGAAACGGCGTGTCAGTGGACCAGCAGAAGACCATCAGTTCATCTCACGCGAAGACTTTCGCGAGGAAATCCAGCTTAGACGGCGGTCAAGGCGTGTACGATTATAACCACTTCGTGAAGCAGACGCGTGCCATGAGCCCGGAAGCGTTGAAGGTCAGAAGGGCGCCCGCGGTCCTACAGCCGCCCACCATCGTGTAAAATACACGGATCTTCATCTCTATCGAATTCCCTCCCTCATCGTCGAATCTTGTCTACTCCTCAAGCAATAGATTCTACCTTTGTTGTAGTCATACCTCTTTCTATTAATTTACCATTGAAATGTTTTTACTTGCTCTCGATTATATGTATAAAAGTAGAGATACTTTTTAATTACTTTGACGTGATGTGACGTGATGACAATGTGCACATTTGTATCAAATGTTATAGACTCATATTTACTATATATCGAGAACACCCGATACAAGTGTCCTCGTGAGACTGCCAACTAATTGTTGCTGCGTATCTTCGTATCGTTGAGAAATTTTGAATTTTTTGCCCTCTACATTTAAGTTATTTATTATATCATGTCGTGTGTTGTTCATTGTATTTTACCATGGTTAAGGTTACAATGGCAATTTGTCCATTCGAAGCACAGGCACGTCGTGATAAATATTGTATGAAGAACTCGCGTACCGGTGCAAAGTATAGTCCACGTCGTCGGAGCGGAACGAAGCGTAACTCTAATAGCGGTCGCATCTCAGTGATTTTAATGGCGGTTGCGCGACGAGGCGGGATCAGTGCAAAACTGGACCTCGCTGAAACTGTTATATACAATTTCCGATTTTGTTACTTCTCCGCAATGGAGAAAAAAAATTCCGCACCCCTCAAGCAAGCCTCTTGTTTCGAGAATGGTGCGAAACACGATTTCGACTTTATATACATTCGAAATTGATGACTCGAATAGGAAATGTGCATCCTTTTGCGACAATCATTTATTATACGAAAATAAATTAGAAAAAATGTATTATTAAATAATATTATATGTACAGGGTGATTCAGGAACTCTGCAACAAACTCTAAGGAACCATAGATCTTGCAGAGATCATTTTTTGTGAAGCAACGCAATTTTTTGACGCGTCGTTTAGCAGCTACGTGATCGCGCAGACAGGTCTTAGGTGATGTCTATTACAATTGTGTATTTACTTGTTTCAAATACACTTGCAGACAGTTCATGAAAGGTATTGAAAGAGACTACCCTGAACTTGATTTGCATTCGTAACGCAGCACGTCCGCGAGCTCGCGTAGTTCTTAAACGGCGCATGAGAGAACGTTACAGAAAATGATGCTCTCTGCGAAATCTATTGTTCCTCAGAGTCTTTCGCGAAGGACCTGAATCACCCCTACAATAGCATATATGTATAATAAAATAATATATAGAGTAAGAAAACCATTTCTTTGTTCATGGTTGCTGCAAATCGCCGTTTTGTTGATCCTGTTTCAGAATAGCCGAATGCATGGCTTTCAGAAATTTCGGTAGTGTAGATTTCTTCGTGGATGTATGAAGTGCGTGCGCCAAAAATGGTATTTTTCTTAAAGTACGACCGGTTAAACCTTCGCTCTCACGGCTAAGTTCCAACAGCTTTAGACTATTCTTAGTGTCTTCATATTCTGCGTATCCAAGTAGCTTTAACTGCGATATGTCGTGTATCTCTTCATCATCCAAAATTCCAGTCTAGAATATACATGAAATAATATAGAGTAATATTACTTAAAAAATCGCATTAATACTCGAGTATTACAATAACAATTTAGCGATATCCTAATATAGTGTCTTGTATAAAAAATTATTCGTAACTTGCGAAAAGTGCTAAGAGAAGTGTGTTATTTTCACTCTACACTCGACATTTATATATTATCGCATCTCACGGGATTAAAGAGGCGTACATACCCTCATCAATTCCTTCAAGCACGAATGATAAATATTGTAAATAGCAACTTCGGATGGGTATCCGAGATACTGCTTTATGTCCGCTCGATCGACAAACGCAACATCTATGGCTTCCGTCATATTGCTCGTCGTTAAAATTAAAACGTTCGGATACCGTTTGATCTGATCTAACTGCGTGAGCAGTGCGTTCACAACGCGTATGGAGTCAGACGGTTCGGTACCGTTGCTGCATAATTTACGTGCGTGAGCTAACGACTCTACCTCATCGATCAAAATGCATATCAGGGCCATTTCGTCTTGTACCAAATTCTTTATTTCGTCGAACAACTTCATGACAAGTTTCCCACTCTGCAACAGAATACAAAATGACATCAACCTCGATATTGAATGGTATAATATGTGAACCTTGTTACCTAATTGTGAATATTGTTATTAATTAATATATATATGTATGTATAGATGGATCTTGAATTTCTTCTCTTCCGTCACAAGTTTTAATCCTACATTTCAATGTCCCTCTCCGAAGCGAGGTAGATAACAGTCAACTATGTACGTACCTCCGAAAACCATTTTGAAAACAAGCTGTGGCTGTTAATTTCTATAAACTTCCCATGAGTAAAACGATCTCCCATACGAATGACAGCTTTCTGAGCAAGGGCTTTGCACATACTGGTTTTGCCTGTACCTGGGGGGCCGTGCAGCAACACGACTTTGTTCCAGCTTATAACGTTAGAATTAACAGCGTGCTCGGAAAATAACATTGTAGTCTCCACGAAACGTAATAACTAAAAAAAAAGGGGGAAGAAATAAAATTAAAGAAACCGATATAAAGTCACTGTACAGGATACAGTACAAGCAACCGCGACGCTACGTACAGAGAGATTGTTTCATGCTTATAAATCCATCATCTACTAAATTTACTAACGTTATTCTTTATGTCACAATCATAATACAGATTTTCCCACATGTAGTGAAATTCCTGTGCGGGCAACAACCAGTGAGATGCGACTGGCAGTTCATCAGAGTCGCAGTTTATTGTTTCTATGGCAGCATCCTCCTGCGTCAGTCTGTAGATATAATATTTAATGGCGATCCCATAAATTTTGATCGTTCCCCTCTGAAACAAATGTACGGGTGTACTCTTGATGCAAATGCCAAATCTTTCTGCGATAGGCTAACGTGATAAATTGACAATACCTCTACGTAGTCGGACGAGCATATCACAGACTCGACGTGATCCTTTACAACTGTATTCGTAAAATTTTTACCGTGCAGAACGACATCGAGAGGAATGTCTTGCAACAATTGCAATTCTACATTTAACGCTTCTTGAATTGCGGCTTTTGGCAAAATGCTGTAACAGAATGGGAGCGAGTCATTGATTTTATTTTATTGAATCGAACTAAAGTTTCCATAAAGTCCCCTCAAAGCTGTGATCTCAGGTGCGATTAAGTGCAAATCCTATTGAAATCGATTATGACTATTAGACCTGAGGTCTTTATCAACATTATAAACTATCGTTTCAATAGTTTTAAAAAAAGGGCATTCATAAGGAATGCATTCTTTATTACAAGGTTTATTTCTCTTATTATCTGATAAATAAGATACCATTTTATATATTGGGTATATTGGATATATTTATTGTAAGTTTTCTTTAGAAGTGTATATTCTGTCATTGTTTTATAGTCATATTGATTGTACAGCCACACATTGGTATACTTCACAGATTTGTGCTTGAAAAAGACTGCAATCCGCACGGTCGAAACGTTGTATATCATTTAAGATTAATAAAATAATGCCAGTTGCGTCGAGGGAAAATTGAAGTTTTGGTTATTTTATTACTGGCGAGCAAAAGTATTAAGTTTGTAAGATACCAAGAGTGTCACTTTGATCGTTTTATCGTGATACAATGCCTTTCAACTTAATTTGTACTAAACCATACAACATTTCGCGAAGAGGGATTGGACAATCCTTCCAGTCTCTTTTAGGTTCTACGGTTCTATTAATTTGTTTAATATATCAATATGTTTAATATATCAATGTTTAATATATCTTATTCATTACTGTGGTACGGTCAGTCAGAAGTCAATACTACATGTCGGTTCTTTCCCTTTCAGGAAAGGATGAGAGAAAGAGGACCGACATAAAGTTTCGACCTTCGACTAACGACTAGCAACTCATTGCAGACCTTGGCACTTTGCCCATAGTGTAAGATACAGAATTGACCACCCGACGACAGAACGCGTCGAGACAATCTGAACAATACTGTAAACAATACCTGCTGGCATGTTGACACACTTCTACGTGCAACACATTCTCGTCGTTCATCTTGGAAGTTCCGCCGAATTTAACGACGACGTAGGACAATTCACGGGACAAGGGCCGAGGTCTCTGTCACATAATACGACGAGATTTCGACGAAATCCCGTGCCTCTTCCCGTTGACAGACGGCGTTTTCCACCCCGTCTACGCAAGAGTCACAAGCGCCTACGCGTCGCCTCGTCCGTGCCGGTTCGCGTACCGGATTCAAAATTCGAAGTCGTTGAGCCATGAAGAAGCGGAGAGACCTAGAAGCTGACAGAAGCGCCCAGCTGATTCTAGAACGTTCCAGAATGTTCCAGAGCGCGCGGTCGTCGTGACACGCCTTTATCCGTCGTGGGTAAGTCTGGGCGTTGCTGGAAACGTTCAACTCTTCCATCACTCCTAGATGGTACGTGGTACAATCCGGAGGTCTCTCGACATTTCTAGAAACATCGAGAGACCCACGGGCCGTCGTCGTTCCGTCTCCGAGACTGTAGCCGGGCATTCGTTTTGACACAAAGCGTCTTCTATCTTTGTTCGACGTAGAGTGAGTGAAGATAAACTGACGCTTTCATAATAGCGTCTCCCCTTGAATCCGTACGTTGTAGCTGAACTGGCTGCACTGGTTCAGAGTTTCTCTTTTTTGCCTCCGCGTCGGAAGGAGGAAGATAAACTCTGAACTAGTGCAGCCAGTTCAGCCAAAAAGAAACGGGCCCTTCGTCTTATTCAAGGCCGCCTTAGGGCCTGGGCAGAACGGCTGTTCTTGTTCTCTTAAAACAATGCTTTATGTTTTAAATCCCTGTCTTAAGGTAACGCACAATAATCCCAAGGAGAAATGAAAAGTCGAGGTAACTTTTCCAAAGTATGACCAAAATGTGACATTTGGTCAATATGACATCAAACTGACGTCATCTTGGCTTTTCATTTTCCTTGGGGACCGTCTTGTGTCTCAGGAGTACACGATAGTCATTTATAAGGGCTCAGGCCCTTGAGTTCATCTCTGTATGCAAATACCTCCCAGAGTCTACACAATTTATAGCTGAGACGAAAACTATTTTCTTATTTGTAATTCTTAACGTTGTAGTTTTTAACTTATATATCAATATATATAAGCCTGACGTTTATTAAAGTCTTTTCGAATAAAATCTGTCTAAAGTTGACAAGCGAATTTGATTTTACGTGAATGTGTTGCTCCATATCTTCCCTAGTTACCCAGATAGTAAGCTCAAGCAACGTATGGAAATAAAATGCCAGCAACTGATGCTAGCTCTTTGCTAGAAATATGAATTGAATGTTCGAGTGATTTAAGTACAGCTAGCATAATGTTAACATATTGTCGTAGTTAAATGCACAGCTAAAGAGAGAGCACATCGAATAGGCATATTGTTAACGAAGAGTTAGCATATATTGTTTTCAATTAACAGATATAAACATCCCAGGGAACATGCGTGTCTTTTAGACACGCATGTTCCCTGGGATGTTATATCTTTTACATCTGACCAAGCACTTAATGCTAGCATAATGTTTGGATCATGCAAATGTCTCATTTCCAACATCAAATGCAGCAAACAACAGCACAATACACGACATAGATGCATAGCAAGATGCTAACATTTTGAAAGCAACTAACTTTGCTAACTTTGAAAGCAACTTGTGCTCACACTGGCTATCTGGGTTATAGAACAGTGCATTCGCTAAACTTTGGCTAAATATTGGCCCAATGTTGGTTATATTAGAAATGCATTAGCCGATATAGTCCAACGTAAAGCCACTGATGGCCATGAAATAAATATAAATATTGCATGATAATAATTATATAATATTAGTTTTATATTGAAAGTGCAATATTTAACAATGTAATAACAATATTGGTCTATGTAATAACTATATTGGCTAATTAAGAAAAGGCGTCCATCTTACAATATTGGACCAATATTGGAAATAGTAGATTTACATTATTTTCCAATATTGCGCCAATGTATTGTGCTACTAGGTCTTACAACTTTTTTAATATAGAAATTGTAAAAATGAAGGTACAGTTAATTCTCTTCTATTTATAATCGATTTCTCTCGAACGGTTATCAAGAACGCAGTTATCAAAGGGATTATTAAAAGTATGCGGATGCTATCTCTAGCATCCACCTACCTTTTTATTTAAATAATCCCTTTGATAACTGTCCTTTGTACATGCAACTCTCTGTTCACATCATTTTATAACATACGTTTATAATAAATCTACGTAAACCTTCGTTTAATCTTACTGGATTGAATTTACAAAATGATAGTTTCTAAATACGATTTCTATAAGAAACGTAAACATACGCATCTTATATAGACTATGTGTTGGTTTCGGTTACTTCTACAGCTAAACGTATTTTCTTAAATCAGACTCGTGTTTATTCCGCGTCTGATGTGAAGATTCGGTAATTTGATCATTCGCGACTATAATTTCCAAGATAAGATTCATGTTTATAGATTCGAGAATTTGCCCGTCCGTCATTACCATTTTTCCCGAACATTCGAGACGCTTTGCCCACGTTCTCGAAAGATCTAAACGTTTCTCGACGCAGGCGTCGTCATATATCAGCTATGTGCTGGTAAGACCAGTACGTTGTTAATAAGCAATCGATCAGTGACGTCAGTAGAGAAGCCACAACATGTAACAAGCTGGCGCGTTAAAATCGGCCGCTTCTTCCAAGAACCAGAACAACCAAGCTGGCGCATTCGGATCAGCCGCTTCCTCTAACAAGCAGTACAGCCACGCTGGTGCATTCGAATCTGCGGCTTCTTCTAGCAGTCAACACAACCAAGCTGGCATGTTGGGATCCGCCGCTTCTTCTAACAGCAAACAGAGTCGGTTTGGTGCATCCGAAATGGCTCATTTGGGACTTCAAGCCGGTATGCAGGAGAACTAACAATAAGTGACGGCGACGCAGGCACAGAAAGCAGGACTGAAGTTCGAGAAACGATAAACTTAATTACCGAATCTTTTTTCTTTTTATTTTGTACACCTGTTACACTGTGCACTTACTACTTGTAAGACAATGTTCCTCGCTAAAGGCTATGACTATAATATATTTTTTATTGTATTATTGTAATTACATATATATTTCTCATTGGATGTTTTACTGACAATGAGATGCCTCGTGTCATATATATATAATAGTTTATCCTTGAAAGAAATGTTATTGTGATTTTATATTAATAAAAAAATTAATGGGTTTTTAACAGCATCCAACGTTATATTATTTTTGTTATTCTACCTAATGGTTAATCATCAGGTGACCGAGTTCTCTCGCTGGACATAGCATCCACCTACTTTTTTTATTTAAATAATTTCTTAAAAAATTGTTCTTTGTACAACTCTCTATTACATCCATTTTACAATCTATTAAACACTCATAATGAATCTTCTCAACTTTCGATTAATCTTACTAGACTGAATTTGTAATACAAACGGACATTCTGAATCCGATTTCATTTTATGTGAGAAACGTAAATATATTTACACATCTTATATGTATAGACTACGCTGTTATCCTAACTTGTCATGCGACAAATGTAATGTTAGCCTTCGGCTGATGGCAGAAAACGATCCGTAAACGCTTATGGTATGTCCTACAATTAGTCGTAGACGTAAGGCAAGCCAGAGAAAAACTTAAGCCGTGAAAGTCTATTGCGTACGACTTCAGTTTTCCTCTGCCTTGCCTTACGTTTAAGGGCCTGAGCAGAATGGCTGTCTTGTATCCTTAAGTTATAAAACAGTTATTGTGCGTTACTTTAAGACAAAGATTTAAAACATGAAACATTGTCTTAAGAGTACAAGACTGCCATTCTGCTCAGGTCCTACGACTAGCAATAAAACAGACCTAATCCAGTGAGAAATGATTCGTCGATCGATGTCGAATCGACGTCTATTCGACGGTGCCGATGTCAATTCGACATCGTTTCGATGTCGATCGACGAGTCATTTCTCGCTGAGAAGCGTTTACGGATCGTTCTCTGCCGTCAGCCTTAGTTTCTATAGCATATACTTCTTTTCTGAAATAAGACTCGTGCTTTTATTCCAGGTTTGATGTAAATATTCAAGAATTTGCTCAGTCATCATTGTATTGTCTAATTGTGAAATAAGATCAATATTCCCCGTTCGACGCAGAGGTTCGAGGACTTGCCACTCCGTGATTCTCGCATTTTACCAGAAGATTCGAGACGTTTCGCTCGCGCTCGTCTCGAAAACGCGAGACCATTCTCGACGCATGCGCCACCGTATATATACACCGGCTGCGTGCCGATGAGACCAGTCGGCTATTAGCGAGTGATCAGCTAACATCACTAGAGAGCTGTAACAAGCGACTTGGTTCTGTACGCAAAGTCGAGTCGTATTTTACTTGGAGCGTGTCGCAAATCATTGTCGGCGAGAAAACTCCGGCGAGATGTCTCTGTTACCATTCATACTCTGCGAATTGGAGGACAAGATGCGCCACTCTCACCTGGGTCAAATTGTTCATCCGGAACTTCGCCGACCGAGCCGGCTGGCATTTCTGCCCGAGGATAAGACTTTCAGTTGCCACTGTCAGATGATGGGACCGCAGACGATACGAAATAAAACCATGGATGAGCTCATGGTCAGAAATGCATTGGAACTGGCGCTAGGGCCTAAGGAGAGTGAGAGTCCGCGCGCACCTTTCGTCGTCGAAAAGGACGACTTCCACGTGGCAGTGGACGTGCAGCACTTCAAGCCGGAGGAGATCGACGTGAAGACCGTGGACGATCACCTCATCATCACGGCCAAACATGAGGAAAGACGGGACGATCACGGCTGGGTATCCCGTGAATTCGTCCGCAGGTACAAACTACCAAAAGATGTCAACGTCAACTATCTGATATCCAGTCTGTCCTCCGATGGTATTCTGACGGTTGCTGCTCCTAAGAACCAGCGACTGAAGGATGAAATTGAGAGGTCGCTACAAATCGAGTTCACTGGAAAGCCCTTCGTGAACACGCAGCCGAAGACGGAGCAGAGTGAGAACGAGAAGAAAACGAAATGAGACATTGACTCTTGAAAATATTAACTGTGCGTTAATTGATTAAATTTCAATATTGTGTTCCTATTACAATCCTACAGATGTACAATGGATTGTTAGACCGATGTAAACTTAAATCATTTGCCTTACAAAACCTTTGTGATATTACAATTACATTTATGAGAGCATTCCTGAGTGTTACGATGCATTTAGAGATTATTCATTTAACAAGTTATTCTAATAGATTGTTAGCTGAACCAATAATATTTATTACTCCTAAATTAACTATACTACTGCATAAAATAGGATTTATGACATCCAGTGTCACAAATTGTTCCATTTTTATTTATTGCGAAATTTTGTAAGCAACTTTTACGATAAGATAGGATAGATGTGCTAGAATTTATTTATTGAGATGTATTCAAGTAATGTTACTAATTAGATGAAAAGCGAAATTTTTATTTTTATCCAAAGTATAGGAAATTAATGATTGTAAAACTGATGTAAGTTTGTTATAAAATTATAAACCTGATGTAAAATTATCTGTGAAATATAAAAATGTCTTTTTTAATTATACACTTATTTTATCGCCTTATTAAACTAAAATTAAACACCCTATTAGTATTTTCTTGATTTTCTCGTCAATATCGTCACTTCTGTTACTGTATACACATTCGTTCGAGAAGTGTTCTACAAAATAACCTCTATAGATTGTTTTAAAATCGTAGGATGTCTTTGCAGATTCTTTGGCTTATAATTTATTTCTTTTCAGCAGAAATTTCGAAGCGTTAAGAGTTTTCGAATTTAAAACGGTTGAAAAAGGAGAACTTAATCGAATGGATACTGAAACTGTATTCAATTAATTTCAGAAAATTAAAAAGATATAACAAACAATTTTTCCCCTTCTTTTCTTTTCCTCCCACTAACATCGATTAGTAGAAGAAAATTGAAAAACTTTTTGTGTTAAACTATATAAAATTTTATTACACAAAGTTTCAATTTAATTTGAAGAGGTATAACATTTCCAACACGAAACTACGTCGTACCTGCGGAAATTCTGCACATATAAATATTTATATATAGAGGAAAGTCCTCTGTTATGAGTTAGGATTCTAATATGAAATACCAGATTTTCAACGTCTAAATTCAATCACAAATATATTTTCGCAACGATTACACGATCTAACAATCCATTTTCCACTAAACAGATTTCGCTCCAAAGACAATAAATTAATTTCCTTTTATTTCTGATTTCTACTTATTTTACTTCTGACTCGTCTTCTTTTACCTTATTCTTATTGTTAAATTCAAAATTTACATATTCCACGACTGGCATTCAAGTATCCTCGAAGTTAATAACTTCTTCGTGTCTTCCACAGATTTTAGTTTACTTATTCTTAATGCCATGATGGCCAAGACTTTTTTAGTTCTCTTTTTCAATGTCAAATATATTCTTTGTTTCATTTAAAAGACGCTATAGAATAAGTAAAATAAATAAATTTCAAGTGTACGCAGTTTTCACCTTCTAATGTAGGAAAAAGATTAAGGCTGATGGCAGAGTACGATCCGTAAATTTAAGTCTGTCTTACAGTTAGTCGTAAACGTAAGTCGTATACAATAGACTTTCACGACTTAAGGTTTTCTCTGCCTTGCCTTACGTTTAATACAATATAATTACGACTAACAATAAGACAGTCTTACACGTTTACGGATCGTTCTCGACTATCAGCCAAACTCTCTGAACTAGTGCAGCTATAAAGAACAGAATAATGGTCTAGACTCACCAAACGAAAATGTACATCTCCCTGAAATGTATGATAAAGAAAGAAAAATAGCGTAAAGAGTCAGCTATACAGACGCCTGTGCGTAAACCTAAGATCTATTCGTTTTACTTGTTCCACAGCGGATTTTTTGTGAAACAAAGAAATATATTTAGCATCGAAACAAAGAATTAAAAATCTAGTTCGAAAATGCGTGAGTAAAAACACACGGGGAGTGCAATATACGACAGTAATGATGCAAGATGTGTTAATGAAATTGAAAATGTACAATTTTGTTATTGTAGAGAAAGAGACAAGATTTTTTTCAGCGAGGATAATCTAAATTGAAATTTCCAAAAGTTTATTCCGACATATCAATCATCATTTGATGAAATTTGCGTTATATCTTTTTTTTAAATAATAAATCATTAGAAAATTAAAGAAATTTAATGAATATTTGTTGACTTTCAAATATTTCATTTTCTCGAATTGATTTATGATGAAACCGATGTAGAAATGATTTATCTTGTGATGAATTTTAAAGTATCTCATATTTTATAACGTGCTTATTGTTGCTCATGAATCATGATCGTTCAAATGTATATTGGCGAATGGTCAAGGACTTTTCAAGAAGTGTGCATGAGCGAAAATATTTAGATAACGTACATTCAAACCCAATGTTTCTCGGCAGTAAATTCTGCAGATAAGGATATTGATGAAGCGTATTATTTTCTTCGGTGTTAACACGTATGTGCCATTTTACTATTTCTTACGCCTAGAAGTACTGACGCATTCAACTTCGATATTTTATGACTTTCTTTTAGAACGTAATACTAAGAAAAATTAATATAAATTCCAGTTAATTGTAAAAATATTAATATAAATCCTAGTTAATTGCAAAAAAAATCGTTACGGCACCTCACGCAACTATTGACATGCAATCGATAATGGAACTTTTCTGACTAAACCTATCTCTTTTCCACTCTTCGTACGCACGATGATGGATGAAAGATTGTCATCGTAATTACTTTGCTCATTCAGTCATCGTGTCGACATCCACGTCATCTGCATTTACTTAACTGCCAAATGTGAGTGAATTGCGTCATGCTCTCTTTGTGTACCACTGACGTGGTACACAGCTCAATTTCGTTGTTCAAAATATAATATATATTGTTTTAATAGGCTAATCTTCTTTTTTCAACTTTGACTATTTTAGACTCGCACAGTCTTAACATTAGCATACGACTTGTGAAAGTGCAATATGCGAAAAGATAATCGATGAAGAATCTTAACTACGTGATTATACGCCGAAGTTCGAATCGAATCGCTATCGACAAACAACAGAAAGTGACAATTGAGCGCATCTCCGTTCAACGACGATCGTCAATTGCACGGAAAGAGGGTTGAGCAGATTGGGGGAGGATCTATTTTAACTTCCATCCGCGGTAATTTCTCGGAGCCCTACAACGTTGTAGAATGCGCCTCCCCCACCAGACCGAAAACCGTCCGACATAAATAGCGGTCGCAACGACAGACCCCGTGTCAGTAGTGAAATTCCCGTGCAAGTACACGAGGCGTTGCATCGTACGCAGGCAGCGGAGTGGCCGATCGCACCTTTGCCCTAGTATCTGCGACGACATTGTCAACTCGAGAGAACCGATTCATAAGTAAGCGGAGAACTCGACGACGACATCATGTATCTCCTGCCGCTATTGTTGTCGAACATCCATATGGGCCCGAATGGCCCCTTCGATACGCTGAATCCAACTCTCGGTGGAAAGAACCTTATCCGACCACAAGAGTTAGCCGCTAACATGCGTAATCCTTACTACCCGGTTACATTTGACCACGGGGTCCTGGACTTCTACAACAACAGACCCTGGTTTCCCTGGTTTGACTGGCCGCTGAAGCCGCTGAATAATATGCACAATGTCAAAGTAACTACTGACGACGACACCTTCAAGATGACCATGAATGTGCAGCAGTACAAGCCAGAGGAAGTCAACGTCACGGTGGAGGGTCGTTGGCTGGTCATCAAAGGGCAGCACAAGGCCGAAGAAGGCAACAGCGTCGTGTCCCGGCAGTTCCAGCAACGATATCTACTACCTGATCGCGCCGACGTCGCGCCGGACGGACAGTTAAACTTCACGATATCGAACGACGGTGTCCTGACGATCACGATACCGTTGAAGCCGGAGGAAAAAAAGGAGCCCGAGCAGCCGGACGTTTCTCCTGACAGCGAGAAGAAGGATGGCGCGTCCGAAACGAACGGCGAGAAGGCGGAGGACGACGAGGCAGTTCGAGAGGAAGTGACGACGACGCCGACACAGGAGGACAGACCAAAGCCCGAGAAATAGATTAAACTACGGAATCTTCCTTCCCTTTTATCTGATATCTGTAATTTTGCACATGTTATTTTATAGCTTGCGCTTATTTTTACAAGATTACGTTTTCTTCACGGATGGCTATAAATATAATTCAATCCTTATTGTATCGTAGTTTCACATACATTTCTTAATGGATATATTGCTGAGACTTTTTGTGCCATAGTAGACCATCTTTGTGAGAATTGTAGTTAAAATTTTACATTGATGATAAAATAAATTAGTTTTTGTCAGCATCCAACATCAATACTGTTCCTCTCATATCGTTTTAGATAATGTTATATTTGATTAATAGAAACTATATTTATTTAGGTATAATACGCACATATTTTCACACGATTTTTCTTACATTCACATTGAATATTTTTCACCGGCTCGTAATGACAACGTTTCAGAGAATTCGAGTTTCTAAAAAGAGGCTCGATCGAAATCGTTTGCTCTATCAAATTCCGTGCTTGCGGTAAATGATAAGAAAAAAAGCAATTGCGCGAGTCCATTCCATCAGTCAATAGAAAAAAGGGCACTCGAGTATATATATCGGCTATTAATTATTGGCTGCAAGAAATACGGAGAAGCATCGAAAAGGCTCGACTTTACACTAAACAAAAATAGAATGCAAAAATAGTCTTTAATGCGATTCTGTAGGTCCTTACCCCGCAGATTTACTAGAGTTTGTTCTATAAATATCGCTCTGTCGAGGTCAAGTTAAGCCTTGCTTGCGATGTGACGCTCAACTCCATCAGCTGAGTCATAACTACTCATTGAGAAACAAACTAATTTTCGGACGCATTTTTCATAAATTTCAAATATATTTTTCTGTTGCAAGTAAAAGAATCCAATCGTAAGGTTCAAGAATAGTGTTAGGTAATGACAAAAAAAAGAAAACAATGAAAACGCGAAATAAAAGTTCCAGACACTTCTAGAATGCACTTATTTGCTGAAAAGTATGATAAGAAATCATTTAATTCGCGATGTTTATCGTGCCAATGGTATGCTACTCGTCCTATCGCTAATTAATACATTTATAGAGAAAGATTTTGAAATCTGGGAGGAATCGAAGAATTTTGTTCACGCTCTATTTGTGCAACGACGTCGATTATTTCATCTGTGAAATAATTCGACACCGTTTGGATCATTTAGAAACGATAGTCGATTCCACTTATTATTAGCCTGTTACCTTGATGCTTATCGTTCTCCAGTGCACACGTATGCTTTGCAAACAGCGCCACGTAAGTGCGTAACGATAGGAAACATCCAGATCTATTAGTGGTACTTTAGATATCAAGTGTTTTATCAGGTCGATCCGAAAAATACAGTGATGAAACAGTTATTACTGTTAATATTACATTTCGGATATTTCTACGATTGACTCGACGATACATCACAGAAGTCAAAGTGTAAACGAATATTCTCTTCTTCTCCCCCCCCCCTCTCTCTTTCTCTCTCTCTCTATTTATCTTCCCGCACCGTTTGTTTGCAGACCCAAGGACATCGTGGCAAGATTACACGAATATCTCGACAAATATTCACTGGTCTCCAGGCGGCGGAACATTCTCGACATTGTTATAAACTGCGTTGTAAAAATAGCACAAACGTCGTTGTGTGCATTTTGTAATCTAATGCGATATGCGCGACTAATGTCAAGTGTTGACGCGTCATCAAATATCGGTCTCGTACGGTTCTAGCGGTCTCGTGATATAAGTGTCAATGATCCTTTGCGGCGCTTAATTGCTATTAAATTGTACTACTATTAATAACAGTTTTCGATTGAGTCGGTTGAAAATGCTCATTTAAAATACCTTTCCGTCTTATACTTCCATAGCCTTTAATCAATTTGTAAATAGTAAAGTTGCGAGGGGAAAAATTGTTTATCGACAGAAAGGTTTTTATTACAAACTGCTTTCTAACAAAATAAGGGAAATCAGACAAAATTTACAGTTTTTATCTATATCAATATGAATAAATAATTAATAATACGTGAACTCGACTGTCAACAATTGAATTAATCACATATTAGAAAGGCCTCTGATAGTCATACTGGATCGTGCCCAATAATATTTTTACGTATACATTTCTATTCAATATATAATAGCAACTGCGTACCTACAACTTTATCAGTTTTAAAACACAGTAAGCTAAAGTCGAAGTAGTATATCTAAATTATACTCTTGTACTACTAAGTAGTACTATTTCAAGTTTAGTTTAATACCGTGTTCCAAGAACCGATAAAGTTATCGGCTCGCAGTTGCTACGTTGAACAAAGGTGTATACACAAAAATACTATTAGACACGAAGATGCAGCCTGACCGTCATATGCCTTCTATCTGTTGTTTATTTAAATAATTAAAGGTTTTAGTGCAACAATATTTTGCCTCGCAATTTTCGTGTTTTTGGATAGCAAAGAGCGAAATGAATCTTTTAAGGAAAATTCTTTAATAAAAAAAGAGACAATTAAGGTGGTACCCCAAAGAAACTTGCACCATTAATTTTTTTCATCTTATAACCGATTGAAGATTAAAAATCTATTGTTTCGTTCATAGCTGTTTCCTCCTACGTTGTACATATATTTTAAATAGCCACCGACTGTTTAATTAAATGCCCGATTACTTTAAAATGGTTTTAATTTAATTTCGCAGGATAATATAATATATTATTATTCATTGTACGATATATAAATGCAACGTATGCGCTCATAGCAAGTAGATCAACACCTTAATAGCATATCATTTTCTGTACGTAGAATATACTTCGTGTATACCTAATATTTTTAGAATGTCCCTACAAAATACTATACGTTTGTGATATCCTCTGAACATTTTTAAAATATACATACGCTGTTAGGGAAATAATAATTCTAATAATACGCAGTATGCATTAATAATAATAAAAGACCTGTAGGTGTAAAAATGTAGGTGTAAGAAAAGTAGTTTAAAGGACGTCGCAAGAAAAACGACATCGTAAAGCAAATGTAATCTTTTTCGGTCTTCAGAAGTTTTCAAAGCGCTCGTTGTATTTTTACGTGCGGGTAATCGCGCGCTTCCGTAGATGCAAATAGAAACGTTCACTTACAAACGACGCATGTATAAGAGTATTGCACAGACTTACGTTACAAAAACATGACGGTCTGCAACGCAATCCGTTGCGCCATTAAACCGATTGTTATTTGTACGTGTTTACGTCCAATAATCATTTCTAGCAGGTTATTCAACTTAATTACGATTATTTAGCAATGTCTCTGTTGCATAATATTGTGCATAATATTAAATTCAATTAATAGTTTTTAAACTGATTGAATAATTCAAATTATGAATCTATCTTTTATATCCCCCTAACAGCAGTGATATCGTTCGAATAATCTGTATTTTCTGTACACAGTTGAAAAATTTGTGTTTTCTTGTTACAAAAAAATACCGGTTAAAATTTTGGTGTTAAATGTTTAACACACTCATATGTTAAATTAACTTTTTTTTAGTTATTTTAATAATTTTACATTTAAGGTCAATTAACACAAGAGCAACATGTTAGACCTTAAATGTAAAATTATTAAAATAATTTAAAAAAATGTTAAAACAACGCAATGTGCACTTATTTTTTAATCTAACACAATACATATCTTCTATATTATTAGTAACAAAATTTATCTGTTAAAATTTACAGAATAAAATGTTGATTTTATTCTATATAACATAAGTGAGAGTGACTTCGAACCGTCATTTGACTTATTACATCTGTGTAAAATGTGAAACTTACGACTTTTAAATTCATTTTGTCAGTAAAAATATGTTAATTTTACACAAAATTTATTTCAAATTATTTTGAGATTTGCATTTATTTTGTGTTAAAATATTAACGGAGTATTAGTGTGATCATTTAACATAACCATATTATGTTAAATTAATAGAAAAATTTGTGTGGGCCGTTTGGATATCTGTTAAATTTAACACAAATTTCTCAACTGTGTTGGATGTACTATGTATCTTAATGTGCAGGCAATGAATCCTTATAATTATCTAATTTATACTTTGCGATATCTCATAAATATATTTGCAGTATGTTGCATGATTAAATCGAAGTTGTTTTGCAACATCAAATTCCCATAATCGATGGACGGTCGCAGCTTTTAAAAATCAAGAGCTTAAGCTTCTTATTTTAGCATCTCCGTTTTACGATTCGTGCACTCGAGACAAAACTCTCGAGAGTTCTCGCTCCGGCTGATCGAAGCTTCTCGAACGGACCGAAATTTCTCGATCAGATTGGCCGCGTTCAGCAGACACAACTGTTGAGTTAACGCTCAGTATGATTGGTTAATACTGTTCGATACTGTTTTTGATTAAGCGAGGTAAATGTTTGATTTTTTTTGCACCTAGATATATATATATATCTTACAAATTTTTATTATATTTACACTTCTTCGTAGTTTACTGAGGAAGACCCGAAGAAGGGTCGAAACATTTAAATAGAAACTGATGAATTTATATTGTGAGAACCGAGTTCTGTTCATTTTGTGGCTCACATTGGCACTCTTTCCTTCCTTTATATTTTTCTTTTCGGGTGCCTTCACAACAATTTGGAATATGATTGGTTAATACTTTTAGATCCAATCAATCATATTAAGAAATCGTTGAGCGCTCGCTCAACAGTTGTGCCTGCTGAACGTGGCTATTGAAAATCGAACATCTCGTTCTCGTTTGCCCAACACGTTTCCCAGAAGGTCTCTAAGGCTGATGTTGCATTTGTAGTACGACAAAATTTTCAAGTGTGTTGAGTGGCTGGAGGATAGAAAAGTTCTCGACTATCTAGAAATTCTAAAAAGCTTGTCGCACGACAAATGTAAAAGTACCTCAATTGGTCTGAGCAGATTGTCGTAACTGTCTCCGTCGTAAGACGTAAGACAGTGTCAGAATCACGGCAGAGAATGCCTTGCGTCTACTTGTAAGACAGACTTAAGCGTATACGGATCGTTTTCGGTCTATGAAACGATTCTTTACGATCACGAAGAATTGAAACCGATACACTCTCGTTGAGTTTAACTGCCTGCCTCTATTGTCACATAGCGTAACGGTCGGCATGGATCACATGTCTGTGGCATGGATTCTCTGTGTCGTCGAAATTCAAAACCGGCGAGACTTACCGCCCAAGGGTCGCTGGCACGTGACAATACGCACATTTCCGAAGGGAGGAAAAGGGGAGGCGCCGGCTCGCGACGCAACGGTGCCGGGAATAGGTATTGCTAATAGGCGCGATCGTGAAATTGCGAGATTGTTCTGGAACGTGCACGCACAATCGATCCGTGAACATTCGCGAAGGTGCGCGAAGCCGCAACTGCGCCGTCGTACGCGCGTGCGTGGACGGTGCGCGCGGTTGCCACGGCTATAAAACACGCGACGCACGCCGCGGTTGGATAGAAAGCGGTCGCGAGTGCGAATCAGATACAAATCGCTAGAGGAACAGAGAGCGCGAGCCGGCTTGGAGACAAGTCTCGCTACATCTGCCAGTTTCGTTCGAAAGAGTCCAACGTCTCTTTTCTTCAATCTCTCCGGGAGCCAACATGTCTGTGGTACCGCTGCTCTTCTCCGACTGGTGGGAGCATCTGGATCACCCGCACCAGGTCTTCGACCAGAACTTCGGCCTGGGCCTCCATCAGGACCAGCTGACGCACCCGAGTTTCTTCACGCCGCAGCAGCGCAGCCGGCTCCCACTCTTGGCGCCTATGAGCACCTACTACCGACCCTGGGGCGAACTGTTGCGCAGCAGGGGAGAGGGCGGCGTATCCACCGTCAAGGCGGACAAGGATAAGTTCCACGTTGTCCTGGACGTGCAGCAGTTCAAGCCGACGGAGATCAATGTCAAGGTCGTGGGCAAGTACGTCGTGGTCGAGGCCAAGCACGAGGAGAAGCAGGACGAGCACGGCTGGGTGTCCCGCAACTTCGTGCGCAGATACATGATACCGGAACAGTGCGATATCGATCAGGTCACGTCCAGCCTGTCGTCGGACGGCTTGCTGAGCATCACCGCTCCCAGGAAGGACCAGGCGCAGAACGAGCGGTCGATCAAGATCGAGCACACCGGCAAGCCGATGGTTCAGGAGAAGGCGCAGGAGAAGGCGCAGGAGAAGAAGGACAAGAAGTAGAAGACTTATACGTGCATACGTTATATTGCGTGCTTTTATGAAATGTTCCTTGTATCGTACGTTCACGTATTATTCCTCACCTACCAAATATTATTCTATCTCTATGTAGGATTACACAGAAACATTCGTGTATCGCACTTTTTTCATTTTTGTGAGATAATAGAGTTGATCGAATAAATTATTCGGTGAATCTTATAATCAATCGAGAGTGTCTTTAATGTCACCTTCCCGCCCCCCCCCCCTTACCCTGTTTCCTTTGCGAGAATCTTGTAACGGAATTATCTCTGGCGGAATTACAGTGTACATTAAATTAGAGACGACTTGTCGGATCATCAGTGAGTTAAATGTTCAAGTCGATAAATATTTTTCTAATGCTGAAAGTACGTTAAAAGTAGTTTCAAGTAGAGTTTCACTTTGACAGTGTTCACGTGCTTTGACCGTTTTAATAATTACGTATAACTCGCAATAATACCAAATAAATTATTCGGTGAATCTTACAATTAATCGAGAGTGTCTTTAATGCCATCTTTTCGCCTCCCTCGCCCTGTTCCCTTTGCGAGAATCTTGTAACGGAATTGTCTTTGGCGGAATTGCAGTGTACATTAAATTAAAGAGAATTGTCGGATCATCAGTGAGTTAAAAGATGTTCAAGTGGATAAATATTTTTCTAATACTCAAAGTTCGTTAAAAGTAGGTTGAAGTAGAGCTTCATCTCGACAGGGTTTACGTGCCTTAACCGGCTTGATAATTATCTTATAATTCGCAATAACTAAGTTTAATAAATATGTATACATTGTCATCAATTTTTATATATTTTCTTTCTCAGTTTGTAAAGTTTTCAGTAGAATTGCTCTTTGCATTTGAGAATAAAAGAATATGCGTGATAAATTCAGGTCTCGCTGAAATTATTGCGGGACGAAGCGTGGAAGTTATTGTCGGAGATAGAAACCCTCCAATCATAGTCTGGCCATATCACCGGTAAGATTATTATCCATCGTGTTTCGTCAAATTCCTGCGAGAGAGATAGATATACGTGCTATCTCACTCTGCAATTAGTAAAGCAGAAAGTACTTTGCATTTCGTCGGTATGACAGGTTTCTTGACTAAAAACTTCTCGACTACCGACCCTAATGCCCGTTCTACACCTAGTATAGAATGGGCATCGGATAAGCCACAAGTAGAATCATCCATTGGTATAGAACGGGCATTATACAGAGTGAATATAATTTAAGATTATCTTAAGTATACTCTTAATGTGTTTTCAATCAATCACAGAGCCGTATTAGCGTCTTAAGATAACACTTAAGATGATTTTGAAATAAGAATCGACTATGATCGGCCTTAGTGCCTCTAGTTAAAGAGAGATTACAGAGACCTCTCTTGGAAAAAGCTGCGGATTGCGGATAAAGCGAGCCCGTACAGTACTGCCAAAGAGAGAAACCTGAGAGCGGCCAAGCCGGCATTTTACTTGATACCGATTTTGCTCGGCTGATTCCAGTGCCCTACGCCCATTTTTATTTTTGGAACTATTCCGCTACTTTTAATATACATATAATACATCAAGCTACTAAGTATATCAGCAGCAATTGTATTAAAACCAATTATATAATTTATAAAAATTATTTTCGATTAATTGTGTTATTTAATAGGACTGGTAATTTCTTCAAAGGTTTCGACATTCGAACTTCGAAACTTTAAATTACTTCGCAGCTTCGAAAAATTTATTCGTGTGAGTGGCGAATTTTCAAAGAATAATAAAAATATTGCAAATAAGAAGTATTAAGAACAAAAGAATGTGAATCGCCAGTAGTTGATTAACGATAAAAAGAATTGTTAGACGACTTTAGGCTGGCAGATGGTTTCTTTATTTAAATCCGAAAAGTGGATGTCAAAACAAAAATGGATGTCAAACTCCCGTGCTTTTTAGTTTAATATCAATGACGAAATATCGTAAGTTTTCGAAAAGAATTTTACTCTGTATGGAGTTGCGTTGATTTCGTTTTGTGGTCAACATACTTTTGAGTTGCAATGTCCTGTAATTAAACTTGTAGATTGTTGAATTCCTTGAGAAGGACCACAACCCGTATGATCGAAACGTCGGATTTAAATAAAGAAACCATCTGCCAGCCTAAAATCGTCTAGCAATTCTTTCGATCGTTAATCAACTACTGGCGATTCACATTCTTTCGTTGCTGACATATAAATTATATGTATAATTACAAAATATAAAAATTTGCTGACAAACTACGTTGTACTCCTTTTGCCAACAAAATTTTTAGTAGATTATTCTTGATAAATTTGGTTATCTATATATTTTATTATAACTTTGTATTTTCTGGTTATAAATAAAATGATACCTTTTTTTTAGATTTGAATTAAATTTTTATCTAATAAAAACGGACCAACTTTTAGAGGCCCTCCACCACCCCCGCCGACTTTTTATCGGCGGTCCTCTTTTGTTTGCGATAAAATTGCGTTTTTACATTTTTATAACTTAATTAATTTTGTAACAAATTTTTAAATATATATAAAAATATAAAAAGGGAGAAAGTTACATGGCAAAATTAAAACCATGATACACAATAAAAATATGTACAATTTTTCATTATGACATAAAATTACATATGAACATGTTACATGTGTTTACAATAATACGTACCTAACTCTACAATGTAAAACATTAATAGAAAATGTTACACAGTACACACAACGTGTTACATATGTGGCTTGTGCTTATGATTGTACAACATTTTTTATTAATGTGCAAACGAAAAATCAAACTGTAAAAGCAAATTTATCGATCAATTGCAAACGAAACTATCGATTAAAAGAGTACGTGAATCAAATTAAACTAAAATTTTATTCGATAGAAACGAATTGACCTATATAGAGGCCCTCCACCACCCCCGCCGCGTTTAATCGACGGTCCTCTTTTCTTTACAGTTTGATTTCTTACATTTTTTATTATTTATTTAATTCTTATAACTTACTTTACAATACACATACAATATTTCTCTCGACGTTATACATATATGAAATATTCGGTATACGTACACTAACGCGAAATTCTTTTTACGTATTATATTAAAGTTATTGTTACTTCGCTAATTTATGTTACCTAATCTTTTAAACTATCGAATTATATCCCCCTATCCCTGACTATCCGAATCCCTATCTACCCGTATTCCGATCTATAGACCTACTTATCCATCTTCTACCTACCCGTGTTTCAACATAATGAACCTACAATTGTTTAATTAACCGCGACGCGATTTTCTAGAGGTTTGACTTGGAGTTTAACGCGCCCGCGGGATTTAATAGGGGTTTCACTCTCGCACGTATGCGAGAATGTATGTATATAGAAGCATAACCCACCCGAATTGTGACAAATCAAAAGAAATCAAAGTATACTTCGTATAGCACCTTACTTAGGTACTCCATCAGAGTGGCCAATATTGACCACTTACCTCGTCGTATTTAGTCCTTCGTTGGGCCAGATTGGACATACCTTTCGTTGCTCCCGGCCATACAATCTGGTCATTTTGACCAGAGATCAGGAAGGAAGAAAACTCCTTCCATAGTCGGTTATCGTCACCGACAAATATTTCGTACGGTTCGAATATACGGGTGTCGATCGTGTCGCAAAATGCACGACCACGAGAAGTTAATTAAAGAAGAATATTAATTTAAAAAACTTTACTGTATATACGAATCAAATTTATTTTTACTTCCGTTATTTGTTCAAAAATATTTACCATATCTTCGTAACTTTATCTTTGAATTCGAAATTCACGTAGATATAGGAAAAAAATTTACTTCGCGTTAGAGTGATTTTAATCATGTTCCTCGATAAATTAAAATTTATAATACGGATAAAATTAAATAATTAATAATTAATTGAAAATTTTTCCTGAAAACCCGATCGCGAAAACCGACCGCGAAAATACAAAGATGCGTGTGACTATGCATGTATTCATGCGAGACGCATCTTGAAAGTACGTATATCACGTACATGTACATACACAAATAATAAATGATGTGAGATCCAGAAAAACGAAACTTCTTTCACGATTCCAACCGATATTATAATTGCATATTATAATTAATTAATAACCGCAAATAATATACAAAAATAAGTTAAAATTTCAGTGTTCTGGACGAAACATATTAGAATCTCACGTCATATATTATTTTACTTTATACATCAATTCGTTAATAAAAATGGATAGGCTACAAAAGATTAGCTCGACGAATACAATCATTAATATTCGCCATATTTCGTTTAAGTTCTGTAATGTAATTCAACGATTTTCAACGTGGAAAATGAGCTCGACATACCCTGATTAGTAGGGCTCTATGAAATTAAACGAATGTGGAAGAAACTTTAAGTTGAACTCGTTGAACTCTACATCGAAAATCGATTACACTCCTCTCCGGAGATTCAATATATTAAATAAAAAATTTATTTGCCGTTAACATTTGAATCCTATCCATTTAAGGCAACGAATATACAAGATAATCTACGATCTACAATCTATAATCTACGATCTACAATCTATAATCTACGAGATGCACTGTAAAAAAGTATGTAAAATCACATACATAATAAGTGTAGCGATTACACTATTAATAACGGAAATATATAAATGTATATGCTTTTACCAAAAAATTTTTTTACTCTTTGTTGTATAAATACTCGTTTATACATAATGAAAAATTACATAAAAATGTAAAATTTACACAATCAAAAGCAAACAGTTTACTTATTACATAAGGTAATAATTTTACTTATAAGGAGTAAATTTACTGACGTATGTAAATATACACCTTTAATAGATGGTCCCAATATTACTCATTATAATATTTGTAATTTTACATGTAATTTTTTTACAGTGTGTATATTCGTTGCCATAATAAAAAAGTTTCCGACTTACCGACTCGATGCGCAGCAGCGGAGTTTAACTGCGTTGATATTCTGTAACATACAATTAGAAAATCACATTAAAACAGAGTATTCAAGAATATTAAGAAAATATAATAAGATACTAAATATTTAAAAAAATAACTTTTAAATTATTGAAAATATAATAAATAAGAGGAAGATTAATTTTATACGAAATAAAAATATTTACCCTAAAGTTGCTCCGCCGGTGCCTGATGCCTTTCCGAGGCCTCCTCCTCCACTCAGGTTGTCTTCTGGCA